GTGCCACAGCCCTGGGGCAGCTGAGCCGCCAGCCCAGCACCAAGGCTGCCCACACAGACTGTGCACACATGCGACACGCAGGGCCAGTACACCCCAAACTAGTTCTCCTGTAGTAAAAAACAAACAAACAAACAAACCCAAAACAACCCAGCCCTGGCAGGTACCCAGGCAGGTGTCTCAGGCAGCCAGGGGCATGATAACACCGTGGAATGAGTCAGTGACACTCAGGGGAAGCAACAGGAGGTGCCAGCACAGAAACACGGGGTGATGCAGAGCGGGGTACAGTTCAGTACCACCAGACCACACTATCAAACATTAATGCCCTCATCAAGGGAAGCCTTAATAAAGCACCAGCTCCAGGAGGGAGCCCAGGCAGTAGAGCGTATCCCAGCGTGGATTGTACCCACACGTTGATCATGTTTTGGCGAAGACTAACTCTGTGAAGCAAAGTTCACAGTCAGGCCATGACACACTGCTCAGCCAGGCACCCCCAACCCTGCACCCCTGAAGCCCCTCAGGAAGAAGGGGAGTGAGCCCTACTCCTTGGCCTCCCCCCTCATGCCCCCAGGGCCAAGGGCAGCCTCAGGCTGCAGCCCCAGCACCTGATGGCAGGAGGGAGATACTCAAGTGCAGCTGGTGGGACCAACATTACACCAGGGAAGGGTTGAAATGGTCCAAAACGCCCCACTGTGGTGCTGGGGAGGAGTTAACTGCTACAGATACTATTGCTAACCCACGAGCTGAGTTCTTGCTTGGTCAGTGGTCCAAGGCAGTTACTCTTGCTGAGCTCCGTGGCCTGGGCCTGCCTGTGCCACCCCAGTGGGGAGCGAGCAGACCCCAGGCTCAAGCACAGCTCCAGGGATGCAGCATTCCCTCCCAGCCACAGCCCTGCCAGGGGTTGCGTTTGGTCATTTTATTTCTGTGTTTGGGTTGGGTTACTCACAGTGCCCAAACAGCAGAAAAAGGCAGAATCAAAAGCAAAGCCCCAGTAGCAAAACCCAGGGCAGAGCCAGGGACACCAAGCGCAGAGACCAGCACCTGTGCTGCTCACCCTCAGCCCCACAGATGCTGCCAACTGTTAGTTGAGTGCCCTTCCCAAATAACCCAGGAGAATTTCAAAAGGAAAGCTCTACTGGAGGCTACTGAGGCAGGAGGCTTCTCATGCCACAGGTCCAGCCCCCTGAAGAGCCTCCTCTCTCCAGCTTTCTCTTCTTTAAATCCAGGTCCTCCCTCCAGAACACACATGCGATGAGTGAAGAACCGGGACACCCAACACCCAGCAGGCATCTACAGAGCCTCCTCCAGTTGGCAGAGCTATTGCTGTCAGAACCATCTGGGTGGCATGAGGAGCTCTTCCATCCTGCCTCCCCTCAGCTCTTCTATCCAAGTACATTTAAAAACAATGGAGCAATACAGCTGTTTAAAACCAAAGTTGTCCACTTTTTTCCTGTGGTACTAGGTAGTCTTGTCTGCTCCTGCCACCAGGACAAGAGTAATAGGCAGCAGCCCAGGACTACTGGTTTTCCTCACGCATCTGTTCCATGATGTTGATGAGGCTCTCCAGCCCAAACACGTAACCCATGTCGGGTCCATCATGCACAGTGGGGTCATCACGAAAGCCTTTGAAGGTGCTGTGTGCAAAGTCAATCATACGCACGTCCACCTTGGGCTGGGCCGAGGAGCCAGGCTCCGTGCTGCCTCCATCCTGCAGACCCTCCGGGACGGAGCTGTCCATCCGCTTCAGGCGCATCTCCGGCCGGCGCTCCACAAACATCCCTGCCCTGCTGTCCTTCCCGTCGTAAATGATGAGGAGGGAGCTGGAGTAGAAGCGGTAGGAGGCCTGTCTCTCCAAAACCGCCTTCAGGCTTCGGAGTTTGGCCAGGACAGGCTCAAACAGGTCCTTGCGCAGCTCGATGCCGTTGTGCAGGTACTGGTAGAGGGCGTTGCGGAAGCCCTCGATGGAAAGACCCCGTCCGTAGTATTTATTCCTGCATAAGTAATGCCCGGTGTCCAGCTGATAGACCTAGAAATCCGAAGACATCAAGTGGGAGCAACAGGTTAAGGCCATACACAGAAAGCCCCGAGCTGCCTTGCACCGACAGGGCAGAGGGAACTTGTTATGTCACCACCAGCCCCAAGAGGGAGCAGGAAACAGCTCTGCCTCTTCCCTGAATCCCAAAGCAGCTCATGGGTGCATCCCACAGGCACGGTCAGGGTGCTCAAGCATTGGTTCTCTCCCAGGAGTCCTCAAGAAACATGATGCAACAGACCCCAAGGCTTGAAAAGCCAAGTCTTACAGCAACTGGGACAACCCTCTGGAAGCAGGAGCTGCTGGCATGTGTTGCCATTATGTGGCATGTGATTAATGAGGGGCCCTCATTGTTTCACAGTCTGTGGGCAGAGATTTGGATGTCAAGATCCTTCTGGGGGTGGGGAAAGGAGCGACCATTGCACAACAGCACCGGCAGCAAATCTTGTGGGCAGGGGCTGGCACAAGAGAGGATCAACTCTGAACTCTCAGTATGGTACCAAAGCAAAGGTCAGCCGATGCTGGGCAGAGGAACACCTCCCTCCCCAGGCACCATGATTCTAGCTGAATGCAAAGCCACAAAAATAATGTCATTAGAAAAAAATGCCTGAATTGTCAGTGAACAAAACAGCTTTGGATAAGGCAGGACACCTCAGGAGAAGCAGGTTCCTTTGTTCTAGGCTTAGAAATGGAGACAAAAAGCATATACCACAAACACTCATGGACCTACCTCAAGTGGAAGGCCCTGTAACTCAGTGCTCAGCAGAAAACACTAACTGGTAAATGCAAGGGGCTGCGAGAAGGAATGTGCACCATTTGCAACCCTGGGGTCCCTACCTGCATCCCACACACACGCACGCCCAAG